CATGGTTATTATTATTATGTTCCCCCGGCACAATAATATATATCTGTATATAACATGGTTGCAATCCGCCTGCCAATATATATATATATATATATATATATATATATATATATATATATATATATATATATATATAAATAGGTGCAACTTATGTAATATAATATAAAATATGTTAAAATATAAAAAACAGTGACAAAAATGAGTAATGCAACAGTTAGCTGGTAGAGAATGCCATGCAGCATTAAGCTCACCATTTGTACAAATTTTATTGTTTAATAAAGAATAAATAAAATAAATAATGTCAATAATTCTTATATTATCTTATGGCATATAAATTATGTAATAATAATTGATTTTAATATATTTAAACGACAACGACTTGACGTTAAAGTTGAAGAACAAAAAGTTACAGACAATATATATATATATATATATATATATATATATATATATATATATATATATATGTATAATCGGTAAATTATGTACTGTAGTGAATATTCTACGTTTTTATAATAATTTTTCACATTTATTTAGGTAATAATTAATAAGAAGTGTTTGCTGGAAGAGAACTCTTATAGAGTTAAGCTTATCTATTGTGCATATTTGTACAGAATATTTTATAACAAAATAATTTTTGTGTACAATAAAGTACAAATAAATGAATGAAACATTTAAAAGAAATAAAATTAAAAATTAAAAAAAATATATATATAATTTTTGTTTATTTAATTCAGAAATATACAGTCATAATTAATGAATATTAATTTACAGTTTTCTAAAGTAACATTACAACTTACAATTTGCAACTCTATCTCTTTAACTTTAGGGCTCCCAATAAATATATAATGAAACAATAAACCGGTTAATTTCAGTTCGAACCGGACCACACACGATCAAAGCGGTGAATAAATAGACACACATAAAAGTTGTTTTCAGAAATAGACCGATTTCCTTGTGTTTTCAACACTAATGATAATAAACATATCAAGGCATTTCATTTAACGATCAATCTCGGGACTTTTGGGTTTTATTTCAGATGTAATAAAATCCGTTTTTAGAAAATTTTTGATACTGAGTCTTAGTGATATATTGTTCTTCGTTGCTAACCGTATGCTCCGCTATCAATGGAAAGGTTACACTCGGGGTTTCTCTGCGTGATACTCGTAGAAGAATAGATGGAACAAAGTGATTGATTTAGTCTGAAGGATATGCAAGCTGAAGTGGTAATCAGACCAGTCATCTCGTCTCTCTCTCTCTTTCTCTCTCTCTCTTTGTCCACTTCATTACTGAAGGTCGTGTCCTTGAAAGGTATCTATTGTCTCTCTACCACACCAGTCATATGGATAAAAGGTTTTTGAGTAGTCGCTTTGTGACTGTAAATGAAGTTGGACGACCCTTGATGTAACGACTCCAAAATGTTTTGAAGAGTTACTGAATGCTGGTAACTCACGGTTTCTATAGGTGTCTATGGGAGAGGACTATGTTCAATTATCATCATATCAGTTAACTATCCATTGCTGGACATAGGCCTTCCTTTATTGGGAAGGTTCTGCCATAGGTTTCCATTTATTAAATGGTGTAGCCAGTAGTTGCCATACTTAGCAGGTGGGTTGGCAACTGCGGTTAGGCTTTACTGATGTTTAAAGAGGGATACTGCTGCCTGTCCCGGTTCCTTAGTCGCCACTTACGACATCTATGGGAAAAGAAGGGGTGGATCTTTCTACGCCGAGACCATACGGCAAATTATATTCAGTAGTGGGTAACAATTAAAATTATCATACACATAAGTATTTTAATTTTCAAAAAAATTTGCTATGTTTATTATTTAAAAATAAAGTCGCGTTCATTTGGTTCCGTTTTTAATGTGATTGTATTTTCTTTAGTTTCGGTAGTTTAGTTTCGAACAGTTTTTTCACCGTAGAAAGTTAGTTAAAATGGATGTGAATAAGGAATGGGAATCCAATCCGTTAAGTACGCGCAATCTCGTTGCTTTCATTCTGATTTTTAACGTTTGTGGTTAAATACGATGTGCAAAGTAAAACTACGGTAATTCGACTCGAAATTCCCACCAGAGGGTTTTGTTGCAAGTAATTTTACCAGAGGGGGACTTTATCCGCTTAGGTACCTCTACCTCATTCACGTTTCTGCCGTGAAGCAGTTGTGTTTGCGTGGCTGTGTTTCGGTTTTTTTTTTGATGGGTGAAAATGGTATGGTAACTCCACTTGCCCTAACGGGATACGCTGGCGGTACACCAGTGAAGGGTGATAGATGAGAATAAAAACAGGCCAGTTAGCCTATCATGATGAATTCATCAGGAATTAACCATGATAGTTTCCAGGAAGAACCGCGAGGAGGTCGACCTGGTTGGGTATATTGCTAGCAATGGGATTCTCAGTCTCCATTACTAACAATCCCTTTCCCCCCGCTGTGTTTCGGTTTGAAGGGTGGGATATGATTTAAAGGTAGGTAAAATTTGAAGGTCCATTATTTTTTTGTGAAAGGTGAAATAGGCTTGGAGAAGTTAGGGTAATTTTTTTGGAAATTTTGGTTCCATGTTAGTACTTGTAAGCTCTATACAGTTATATAAGGCCATCAACATCATCTCAGCCATTATCCGTCCACTGCTAAACATAGGTATCCTCATAGAGTGCCGTAAGGAACGGTCCTGAGTCACTTGTATCCACTGCCTTCCTAAGGTACGTAATTACAACAAAATATATAATTGAAGGTAAATAACGGGAAGAGAAGAAGATGGAAAACTAGAAAGAGAAGAAGATGGAAAACTAGAAAGATAAGGAATGACTTTTTTCATCGTTAATTTTGCACCAAATGCTAAAACTTAATTAAAAACGATACAACTTTGTGATAGGGCAAAAATCCTAAAAATGACATCGATTTGGAGAAAAAATATTTGAAGTTTGTGTAAAAACTCCTATATGGCAATTATATTTAGGCTAACCTTGGTATAACCGGATAGTAATCAAACATTGTCCTACTAAGCTATCAACAAAGCAAGATTATGTTTCAATAAAGAGTTTTTTTTTTTTATACAACTTAGAATGGCAAACAAGCGGACGGCCCACCTGATGGAAAGTGGTAACCGTCGCCTATAAACATAAGCAGTACCATGGACATAACAGAATATACTGTTTCGCCCATGATACCCCCCCATGTGTTGCCATTCCTGAGGACTCAGGTGTTATTTCTCTGTACCCAGTAAATTCACGTCATATCCCACCCTTCAAACCGAAACACAGCCATGCAAACACAACTGCTTCACGGTTGAAACACGAATGAGACAGAGGTACCCAAGCAATCGACTTTTGTACAAAGTCTCCCTCTGGTAAATTATTAGAGTATTTTGGCAAAAGCACATATTGTATAGCAATGTTCGCAATGAAGTTAAAATCCCAACAATATCTGCGGCAATAGGCAAATATTTTGGATCTATGATAAGAGCAAAAAGGTTCAAATCTAATCTGGATATCAGATTATTTATTAATATAGTTTCGAAATAACAAAATTTTGAAACCCCGATATCTACATCAATACTAATATAGTAACACGAAGAAGTTGTTAGAATTGTTAGTTAACTTCGGGAATTACCACTCAGATTTAAAAAAAAAACACTAATCTAATAATATATAAACAGGCGAAGTTGCGAAATACAATTAATTAATATAGATAATTAATACAAATAAATAATTAATAATTAGCAAATTAAATATTACACTGACTGGTGGAAACATCTGGCAACCAGGAGTCCGGTATATATTTGGGTTTTGTCTATGTTAAAAAAAATTAAACATATTATTATTATCTCCTAAGTGTATGTATAGCAAATCGAAATAAACTGTAAACGATACTTTTCCTTAGATTTCGAAAATAATCGTCTATAAATCTGCAAAGGCACATTTCGCTTTATCTCTCACTCCAGACGCGAGACTGTAGTACCGGCAGGAAGTAAGGGGCAGTGCGCCCACCCCTCCCGGTCGAGATTAATTCACTGAATAAATAAAAGTCGGCGGATTAGGCCAAGTATTCCCTCCCTCGGAAGCTGACCTAGCGTGTTGGAGAATTGTCCCCCACATAAATATCTGGATGAAGTCCAGTCAATGTGTCACAGTTGTCGTTTTTCAAAATATGTACCAAGATTTTTTTTTCTTTCCTAACTAGAGTTCTAATATCATTATTAATAGTTCTCATTCAATACTAACTTTTAATTCTAACCGCTTACCATTAGGTGAGTCGCATGCATGTTTGTCAAGATACAACCTAAATCAAATTTTACATTAGACTTTCACAAATATATCTTTGAAAACCACATCCAGTTTGGTATAGTAGTTTTTGCGTGATGCTAGAACGAATAAATATATAGACAGGCAGACAGGTAGACATCAGACAGACAAAATTCCTTTTATTCCTTTTTAAAAGGCCGGCAGCACACCTGCAATGCCGCTGGTGTTGTGGGTGATCAAAGGCGGCGGTAGTCACTTACCATCAGGTGAGCAGCATGCTTGTTTGCCACGTGTTGTAAAAAAAAAAAATTATAAATTATTCTAATGCCCTCTATTGATCTTATTCAGACCCCACATATTATTTTTCTCAATTATTTCTCATGTGTGTATATAGGATATCATTTATTAACAATTTTATTAAATAAATAAGATATAGGAAAAGGAAAAATAGTAAATGAAACAACAATTAAAGAATTAACAACAATGAATGAAGGTTTATAATAATAAGAACAAACACAATAAACAGTACAAAAACATTTTAAAGATAATATTAAAAGATAATGTGAAAATAATAAAGGCGAAGACAAAATTGCTGTAATGAAAGTATGCAGAATACATTAATATATTAATAATTTTAAATTAAAATTAATTCTTTGGAAATATTGTAACTCATAGTCTCAACAAACAAATAAAACAATACTGTTAAATTTATTTCATAACAAAAGATTTAAGATATTTTCATATTTAAAAGTTTTTATGTTATGGATATTTATCTAAGACATCAAATAAGTATGGATAAAAATTTTCTTGGACACGATTTCCAAAAATAAAATCGAAATGGTTGAACTGTTTTCGGGGTAGTATTTCATATTCAACTACATTTGGAAGTTTAGCCTTTATTTTGTCTGCACCTTCAATCGTAGCCATATAATCATTGGCTCCCACAAAAAGTGCTACTTTCATAGTTACGTTACTAAGATCATATTCCGGTGGTGTTGTAGCACCATACCTTATGACGTTCTCTGCTGTGCCGTAGTCAAACTGAGCGAATTTATTTCTTTTAGTGAACTGAGCGAAATGGCATACAGTTTTTGTAGGAATAGTCTGTGGAAAATGACCAGCGAGTACATTTGAAAATTCTTGCTCATATGATTCAGCATCATTACCGATGAAAGGAAATATTGAAGTTTCCCAACATATTTCATAACTGCCGGTCTTTTGTGTACACAAACTCTGTATAAATTTTCTGATCACTCTATCACCGTAAAACTGTACTATACCCAATTCTTTTAATTCAGAATATACCATATTCGCTGGCACTATATCTATGATTGACCTAAGTATACCTTTCGGTTTGAAATATGCCACAGGAGCTAATGCTACAAATAAATTGATTTTGTCATTGTATTCAGGTCTGACTGATCCCAAGACGAATGTATTAATTGTACCTTGTGAATGTCCTATAATTGTTACCTTTTCTTGGCCAGTTTCTTTTAGTATAAAGTCTATGAATGCAGGATAATCGTAATATCCATTCTCATGCAGGCTGAAGTTCCAATACTCTGTATCCTTATGAGCATCCAATTTGATATGACTTAATGAATAATCGTTTCCTCTAGTATTACCAATCCAAACATCGTGTCCTTTTGCAGCTAAAATAAATGCCAGTGAGTTATTTTTTCTGAGGGCAAAACAGTCAGAACTAGCGACGAGGCCATGGTTCAATAAATAAGGTCTTCCTTTCCCTGGAATATGAAATATATTAAGGACATACCCGTCTTCTGTGGTAACGTTATATTCTTCACATTGATGTCCATATGCATTTGCTAACTCTGTAAAGTTACGTTTGCCATCCTCTGATATGTTGCTTGGCAGTAAAGAATACTTTTCCATTAGTTCTGTGAAATTCAACTTTCCTAGAGTTGCAGCATATTGAGGAATATCGTTTAACTTCCCTAGTAAGGAATCAAATATGAACGTTTCGCTTGTAACAACATCACTCAATGAATATACTCCAAAAGTCACCAGAAGTAATTTTTTTATTAACGTCATGCTTAAAATATAATGACACGAATATGCCTAGCTCGACGTATTTAAATTGAATGTCATACTACTACTACATATTTACGTCAACGAGTATTTATGTAGTTTGTCGACATGATGCTGTTACTCAGCAGTACACGTGGAAGCCCATTTAAAGATATTAGACTAAATTCGCGGAATTAAAAATCTGTGTAGTGGTTAGCTTGTAGTGTATATCGAGTTACTCATGAAATAAAAAATAATATAACAGTTTCATAAACTTCGACAATTAAGCTTTTTTATTACCTATTTACAATCTATTTTTGTTAAATTAAGATTATAAATTCAATTTTAACATAGTTTAATCTAAATTTATAAAAAAATTTAGAATATTATATATTCAATTATTAAAATTCATCAATTAATAAACACACACACGCATGCGTGCGCTCACACACACACACACACACACACACACACACATGCATGCATCACACACAGCTGTTAGTCCTATAATAATCACAAACTAAAATATAACTGTTCAGTTAATGTCACAGGTATCTGATACAAATTTAAAAGTGTATGTCATTTCATAGATTCTCAGAGACATATGGAGATTATAAGGTAAGCAATTCTGTAAATAACTTTTTGGCGTTCGAAGTATAATGCCACCTAATCTTAAATGACTAAGGTGTTATACGCAAACTCGAATTATGTTTATTCACCCTAGCTTTTTATATTGTGCTAAGTAAGCCTTTTTTGGTATTCGATCTTATTTATTCATTACTCATTAAAAAAAAATCAAATCCTGGCTTGAGTTTAATGACTCGGGTCAGGATTTTATTTCGAGTTCGAGTACTCGAGTAACTCTACAGAGTATTCGAGTAATTTATTAGACTTGAGTATTTTTTCAATTGATTACAAAAATTTAATTTTAATGTAGATATTTAATAATTTCTCCGTTGATAATTAGGGGCAAAATTTATGAAATAATTAATTAGGAAAAAAAAAAAACTTACGATAATTATGCGACTAATATTCGAATGCTGCAAATACTCGAATCTTGTATTCGAGTATCGAGTTTCGGATTATAAGATATTCGAGTCAGTACTCGCGTCAGTTTTTCTTATCACGTCACTACTTGACCCCGGAAGTACACAAATATTTTCCATCTAAACACTTTAATGGTATTTATTTTACAAAGTAGAATAAATTTAGTTTAAACAAATGTAATAAAATTTTTAAGTTCTCACAAACAACGTATCTGTGGTTAAGTCATATGTTGTAGTAATATTATGTACTCACATTGTCCTTCTTATTCAAGACGTCGACGTATAATTAACCTATTATTGCTATTAAAAGATTTCATATTTTGTAAACAAGGTAATAAAAAAACTATATAACTAGGTCATTTAAATATAAACAAAACATAAAAAAAATTGGAGTTAATGTCGATTCGAATCCAAATTAAAAGTAAAAGGAGACTTTGTACAAAAGCTTGTTAGGCACCTCTGTCCCATTCGTGTTTCTACCGTGAAGCAGTTCTGTTTGCATGGTTATGTTTTTGAATTTACAGGGTACAGAGGAATAACACCTTAGTCCTCAAGAATGGCAACGTATGGGAGGTATCATGGGCAAAACAATATACTCTGTTATGTCCATGGTGCTGTTCATGTTTATAGACGACGATTACCACTTTCCATCAGGTGGGCCGCCAGCTTGTTTGCCATTATAAGTTGTATAAAAACAAATTAACTATTGAATAATAAACTAAGTAAACTAGTTCATAAATAAAATAAAATCCAAATTGGTTCACAACTAACCGAGCTATGAGGAAATAAGCATAAAAAAATACAATATTAAGAGTCTCCTTTCTCTTTGAAGTCGGTTAACAATCATTTCATAATTAACGATGCAATCGGATAACATACATAGACAAATATAGACACACATTATAAAATGCAATAAAGAAATAAACAAATATAGACAAAATAACAAAAATCTCGTTTTGGAAAATGCTTAAAACATTACCCTCACTTTTTCAAGCAGTCGGGTAAAACTTTTTCCATGATTTATATTACTAGATATAAAATATAACAGACACGGACGTGATAGTAATTTTAAAACTATATTTCGCAAAAGTCGCCGTCGCTCAGTGGCCGCACGAAGGACGCTACATTACCGCAAATTGCATTAAGGGTTATATGGACGTACGTAGTATATGCACAAAAAGGACATAATTTTCATAGAAAAAAAAATAGCATAGCATTTATCATCATCCACTGTTGAACATAGGCCTTCCCCATAAAAAGGAGTTCTGTCCGTCGTCGATTAAATATGTCGCCAATTTTCGAAAAATTTTCACACTTTTTTGTAGTCGACAGAGCTCTCTTCCATGTAACATTACATACATATTAATTACTTTATGACTATTGAAGCCTTTATTAAAAAAAAAAAAACTTCTTATTGCTAATATACTATGAATTGACAACTGTAAAAAATGCATCTCTTGACTAAAGAATATTTGATAGGGATAAAAAATCCTGGGACGTCTCAGGCTTTATAAAACTAGCGACCCGCCTCGGTTTCGTGCGGGTACATATGTATTACATCACGTCACATTAGAAACTTCTAAATATATCAGTGTTTCTCTACAATATTATGCATGTATTATACATATAAACATTCCTCTTGAATCACTCTATCTATTAAAAAACCGCATCAAAATCCGTTACGTAGTTTTAAAGATTAAAGCATACATAAGAACGGACAGATGGCGACAGCGACTTTGTCTTATATTATGTAGTACTTTGTTTTATAGTATGTATGTAGTGATTATTGACGCCGTTTATTTTGCATTAATGTTCAAAAATATTCTTTGGTTATCTACAAAAATTGTCGACATTCTAGTTAATGTTAATATTATTATGAAATAATATTTTAAATTATAATCAATATCGTCATTATCATATCAGCTTGGGGGGTTTTGCCAGTTGCCATTGCTTGGCAGACGAATTGGCAACCGCAGTTAGGCTTTGCAGATGTTATAAAAGGGACGCTGCTGTCCATCCCTCGCTCTTATTTAGTCGCCTCTTAGGATATCTACGGGAAAGGAAGAGATGGCCATATGGCCGTGGCTATGCCAGGATATAATAAGTATATTTTGTCTTTATCATTAAATTATTTTGACTATCTAAAAAATATGAATTTAATCCAAATAAAAGCTTTCAAATGGCTGATTGAAGTGATAAAATATATGAAACTAACAAAACATTAAAGTACCGTAAAAAATTTTGTTGCAAGCGATAAGCAGTAAAACATGATGCATCTCATCTTAACGTATACTACAATGAAACTAAGGAACAAGTAGAACGGATCATAAAATGCAACTCCCCTGTACGGAGTTCGTTCAATCAATCGCGGACTAATCGAAAATTCCAACTCAATAAGCTGAGAGCCGATCGAAGGATTATGTGTCTCCCATCATTAGATATTACTCGGCTTCAATCACTCCCATTCAAGTGATTCCATTCAATTCATCCACTTTTATTTCGTCCTGATCAAAGCAAAGGAAAGTATAAAATGTAACGACCACGGCCTAAGCAGGAATTGTCTTTATTCTCGATCTCGTTGATTGGAAAATTTTATGCCATCCCCTGATCGAGTTTGGATTTATCAATGTTTTCTAATCATGTTATTTAATTTGCTTGATGAGTTTTCAGTCGGTACTCGTTTTATGAGATTACCGAGTTATTTATTGCGTTCTTTAATAACGTTATCTTATTAGTTACTGCTTTTTTTATACCACTGAGGTGGTAATCAAGCATATGGTTCACCTGTTGGTAAGTGGTTACCGTAGCCTATGAACGCATGTAATAACAGAGGTATTACGCGCGCGTTGCCAACTCTGAGGAAACCTCTTTACCCCCCTTTTGAAGGACCCCATGCTGTAGTCTTTTGGGAAAACCTCGGCAGGGAGCTCATTCCATAACCTGAGTGTTCGTGGAAGAAAACATCTCTGAAACCGTTGTACGCGACCATTTAGGCTATAAGATATGAGGGTAAACTCCCTGTCGATGGCGAGCCGTACGATGGTAGAAAGTTACCGTGGACTGTTGGTTATAATGATTCGATACTGTGCTTTTTATCTCCAATTTCTGTAAGATTTTGTAGAAGAAAGTGGGGTATTGACAGCAGTTTTTTTTATGGACAATACTGGAATGGTTACGTTGCCTGCGCTATCGGTATACGCTGGTAAGACACCAGTGATAGATGGCAGGTGAGGATGAAAGCAGGTCCGTTAGACCATCGTGGCGAATTCAACAAGAATTAACTACGATGGTTTCCTGGGGGAACCACGTGGAGATCGATCTGATAGGGGTACATTGCTAGCAATTGGGCTGCTAGATCCCATTATTAACCTATAGACAACATAAGAGCCATTGTGGTTACATTGACACCTGTATTTCCTTGCTAGTCTTTTGGTACTATTATCAGTCATTGCAAAGCCCGAGCCCGTATGAGGTCGCCACTCAAGTACTTTCTTCCCCATGAGTTGCCGGTTCTTGGAGCTATGTAACTAGGCTATTGCTACTTCAGCTTACTTATCTTTTGGACTTGATAGGTCACTTTAGTTCTCCTGGGGGATGTGCTAATATACCGGCGCATCCTCCGAGTGGTAGGGTGAGCACGCCATCCACCCTATCTTGAGAGAGGAGACCTGCTCTTACCATCTGGGGGCGGGTCGCTGCCGTCTGAGATGTGGTGAGTGCGAAAGCGAACCCATGTCTCCGACATATGGCACCTCGAGGGTATATCGTCTGGTTTTTAGTGGGTACACCCCCCACCTTACGGGGGGATTCCCACAGTACCCATTCACCTCCCACAAGGTGTATGGGTCTGCAAAAAGCATTTCCCCGACGTTAAAAAAAAAAAGGTCACTTTAGTTCTGCAGATATCCTTATAACGGATTCTATCTCGCAAAGAAACCCGGAATACAGTACTCACCATAGTTCCTCGAGTGACTTGGA